CGGCCGCCACCGTACAGGTCATGCCACACACTGTTCAGATAGAACGGCCGCCGCCGTACAGGTCATGCCACAGACTGTACAGATAGAACGACCGCCGCCGTACAGGTCATGCCACACACTGTACACATAGAACGGCCGCCACCGTACAGGTCATGCCACACACTGTACAGATAGAACGGCCGCCGTCGTACAGGTCATGCCACACACTGTACACATAGAACGGCCGCCACCGTACAGGTCATGCCACACACTGTACAGATAGAACGGCCACCGTCGTACAGGTCATGTCACACACTGTACAGATAGAACGGCCGCCACCGTACAGGTCATGCCACACACTGTTCAGATAGAACGGCCGCCGTCGTACAGGTCATGCCACACACTGTACAGATAGAACGGCCGCCGTCGTACAGGTCATGCCACACACTGTACAGATAGAACGGCCGCTGTCGTACAGCTCATGCCATACACTGTACAGATAGAAGGGCCGCCACCGTACAGGTCATGCCACACACTGTACAAATAGAACTGCCGCCGTCGTACAAGTCATGCCACACACTGTACAGATAGAAGGGCCGCCGTCGTACAGGTCATGCCACACACTGTACAGATAGAAGGGCCGCCGTCGCACAGGTCATGTCACACACTGTACAGATAGAACGGCCGCCGCCGTACAGGTCATGCCACACACTGTACAGATAGAACGGCCGCCGCCGTACAGGTCATGCCACACACTGTACAGATAGTGCCAAACTAGCCTGACTGTGCCAGTATCTCCCAAACGCTTTTGCTGCATTAATTTATTTTAATCTGTAAATGATAAATAAATAAAGTCAAAATGTCCGAAATGTCTGTCTGTCGTCCGTCCACAGGTTTGCTCCATCTAAAGCGTGTTCTATTTTTTCCTCAACCGTTCCCATTCGTCACCACTCGCCCCTTTCCGTAACCTGCAAGAAGACTCGTCCCCTATCGATGAATGTTATGTGCGAAAATACGACAAACCAATCAGAATGCGCGTATGATATCAAGTTCTTCGTAAAAGAATCCCTCAGAAATAATTTTTGATTTTACATATATCTTGCATCTAAAAATATACCCAATACATAGTTAAATGTGTTCAATCATACTGTATAATTTCGCATGTCCCGATGTGCTTTAAATTGCATCTGGAATATATATAATATATGGGGAAATATATGTGAACGATTACGCAACGGGTTGACAATTGTTTTAGGTATGCCTGTTTGACGGAACGCGGTCGCAAAAATGGCCATGCGAGGGGCACGAGTCGCTATTCGGCTTGTCCCGGAATAACACGAGTTGGTCACGAGTGAACCGTTCCGTGTACACTGCTGAGACTTTGCATGGCTCATCCCACCGAAAGGTACGTGAAGTGCTACGAAAAACACAACATCAACTCCGCTTGCACGTTTGGTCATGCACATATGAAGCCCATATGTGTCTGACCATCGGACGTATCGAGCTTACCTGCCGCTGACGTCAAAAGAAAAAGAACATGTCACAAGCGAAAAATTGTCATTAGTCACCTCGAGTCAAATTTGGCGGAGAGATTCCAATGAGCTTTTGAATATTGAATAGTCTCGATTAAGAATAATCATAAAAGAAGAAAAGCTATTTCAAACAAGACCATCCTAAAACAGGAACTCCTTGCCAAATTACTCAAACTATTATGTCGACAGCCCTAGTTTTTGTCTTAAGCTTCGGTGATGAGAATCAATGGTGGCTCTAGGTCCTGTCAGGATAATGGCGTTCTTACTTGGCCATTAATCTTGTAATCGCAGTTTTGTTGTTCTCTGTTTCACGTCAGGAACACCCTATGCTGGGGTTATGGATTGCCATACCCTCTCTTTAGATCATTTCCATCGTTGCTTTGTTCATCGACATCTCCACTCAATCCTTTACCTTATAACTGGATGGTAATGGAGGAGGTCGTAATTGAGGATAAAGTCGCTGAAATGGAATTGTATTATTTCCCTGAGCTTCTTAGTCGGTGATCTGATGGAAGCAGGTACAACTTGATGAGTTATCAGACGAATGTCTAAAGCATGTGAGGGTCCACATAAGGGTCCAGATACACTATGGACGTTAAACAAGAACAAGGATAGGATATGTAATTATATGGCTATTGCGTTATTCATAGTTATAACAACTACACGTGACACTGTCCCTAAGCGTGGTTGCTCTGGTGTGCTATAGCTCCGTTCACAACCAGACATTTGTCAGCACAAAAGCAATACAGACAATGCCCACAGATTAACCCAACTGTCCTGTACATATGCGACTTTCACTTGCTCCGAAGGCATCAGTATGACAAGTCACAGACTTCATGAGCGTATATATACACTTACCCAAGTATATCAAGCCTTTAAGAATTGTCGGGCTACCATGTCCCTGCTGACTGGAGCACTCTGGCCCACAGTTTGGGTGTGAAGCTCCGAGACGGCTGCCAGATATCTACCGCCCGCTGGTCTACTCGTATAAGTGGAGAGGAAATTTCACCTCTATCTCATAATGGCCTCACGGAATCTGCTTCTAAGTCTTGATACAATGATTGCCACTCTACTCCTGGTCTGATTTCAGTAAGTATAAATAATTACCGGAGCCAGGTCTGCCACTTGGCTGGACGCGAGGAATCGAAGGACGGGGGAGTAATTACCTGTATCAGGCCCATCACACACATGCAGCCTCCCATTTCTACCATAACACCTTAATAACATGTGGCTGGTTATAACGCCTCGTCTCATCAGATGACTTTGCTTCAATCTATGATTTAACCCACAATCTGTCATTTTCCAATACAAAAGGGAGGGCAAGAGAGCGGTGATGGTAGTGAGACCAATTGAGACAGTTAGCATTACTGTTCTCTCTTCTACTGTTACATTAGAACCGCTATCCCATGTACTGCCCATATCCTGCAGCCATTGTTGCCAACCGATCCCCATTCTAGACGTGTCTCAAGATGGACGAAAACTAGGATCCAGCCTGTTATGGCCACTGTGCGTTGTGGCGCAATATATATCCGTATTGCCCATCAGGCCAAGGGCACAGTCTTACAGGCAATAGTTTCCCCATGAGCATACACCTGTCCATTATGGCAAGAAGAGGAAGAACACATGCAGCCACATCGAGTGGCATGATAAAAGCATATAATTACATTCCAGACAAGAATCTGCCATTCAGTTTAGAAACGTAGGGAACATGTAGGGAATATATATGACAATGAAAAGGGTTTTGTCAGAGCAAGTCAATGTGCGTCTATAGTGATATTGTGAATATTGCAAACATTACCGAGATCACTGTAAATAAGTTTTGCGTAAGGATTTACATCTCTTGTACTATCTCAGGACATTCGGGAAAATAGGCAATCATTTAGAAAGTGACTGAAACATGAGTATTTCTGATAGTGGTGTAACGATACGGCGATACAGTATTGTATCCCGATGCACATCCCACAATATGAGGCATCGATTTGGAAAACATGTATCGCGATACATACGATATTTTCATAACACAGTTTTACTGAATGAGTTTTGATGTTTTTCCCCCCATGGAAAGACATTACCGTGCACGTAACACCGGAAATACCATGTCAACAAATCAATACTGAAGTTCGCAAATTATTCATGTAATTACACTGTCTGGCTATAAAAAGTGTTCTTTGTATATCTGGACTTATGTTTGTAACTTATTTCATTAATTTTATTCAAAATTCCTTTTAATATTGTTTTAATTAATTTCGGCGAAATCGTGTGTGAAGCGATCGGAAGATCGCACAACTCACCGTTATTAACAGCAACCACGGTCAGATTACCGCTATTGACGCCTTGAAACGAACTTTAGTTGACAGAGAATGGATACATATATCATAAATGCCTTACTTTGATTCGTTAAAAGTCATATTTGTTTTTGTTGAACGATTCTATGTCAACACGTAATTCTCGCGATCACGCGCACGGGAGCATTGACGGTGACTGGTCAGACTGGTTCCATGTAAAAAATAATACCCGGCAATAGCGATCAGCTGCTTCGCTTAGGGTTATTATTATTTTAAATATGTTTAGTAAAAGCTGTATCTAAATTAACAAGATATTGTAATATATTATTCCTGATAAAAAAAATAGTTTCAGATACAACTTTTGCCGATCCTTGCATTAAAATTCTGTAAAGTTATAGCACTGGGTGTGTCTTGACCGAATCACCGGTAGATTCCAAGAAAACGTGTGTACAGCTGATTGCTGTGTCCGGCTTAGTTTACGAGAAAATACACAAGGTAATCTTTATCCCTGGATATAAAACAATACCTAGCTGAACAAAAAATACAATTTAAACGGTAAATCAACATGTCTGGTGATTTTTTATCTCAAATTTCGAATTTGTACTGACGAAGTTTCTCATCACCCGTTCGTTTGCCGGACTTCGCTGAAGGGGTATACGGTGTATTTTTTTTCTGCGCATAAAATTCAAATTTCTTTTTTTTCTCCAAAATATTGAACCCGCTAGAGGGGGTGCGCATTATACATGGGTGCGCACTATACTCAAGAAAATACGGTACTTTTAAACATGAAATACGTTTAACAATTTCAAATCCAGTTTGTTGTTTCAGTAAAACATACTGTATTGCTGACAATTTGCTATAACAGTAAATAAACACCTGATATCTTCTTCAACTGTACTTGTCACATCTTTTAGAGAGCAGAAAGACATCAACTTGGCTTAGCTTGTACCAGTAAACACTGTATCGTGATACGTATCGTATCGCGACCCCTGTATCGTATCGCGACCTTCCCGTATCGTTACACCTCTAATTTCTGAAGACAAGTGTGCTTTAATGCTACTATTACAGAAATATGTTTGCATTCTATGCATAACCAGTAAAGTCTCAAAATGTCTTTCCCAAATTCGAAAATAACTATTTAATTACACGTATATCATCAATCACTTAAAAGACTACGTCCATTCATCGTGTATCAACAAGAAATTTGTAATTCGGCAAATCAGGTAACCTTATTGAATATCAATATCTTTCTTTGTTTAATTTGACTTCTAATAGTTGGAAACCCAACTGTAAAGCTATCATGTATGCCAAGTTTGGTACAAAAAATATTTTAAAGATTCAACAAAAGTATGTACCCCCATAAATAGTGAGTTATTGGTTGTGAAAATACATTGCAGAGCAAAATAAATTCAGACTATCACATTATTCAACCCCTTTATCAGATAAGAGGCAACTGCTTAATTACTGAGCTTTCATAGGAATTTGTTTAAATATATCATATATCATATAATTTACATGACACATCAATTTCAAGCCTCCAATTAACAAATCAATGCTCGCTATCCTGTTAACTGGCCGTATGAATACAACAATATAACGCATTTATTCGCGTAAGAACTACTTTTAGTACACTCTAAAAAACAAACGTTTACTAGAGACATGTTGAAGTGCTTGTTCCTAAACGCTAGTGTATATCTTACTTCACTGGTGCTTAATAATAACCACAGTCTGCCATACAACTAACACACACATGTGCATTCATAAATGCACACCCGTTTGTTCTTTTTCGCACCACAAACAAGTTTTTAGGACAGACATGTTGAAGTGTTTGTTCCTGGACGCAAATGCATATTTTACGTCACTGGTGTAAAACAGGTTTGAGATACAAGATACACACACACGTATTTCTAAGTGTACATCCGTTTACTAATATTACATTTTTGATCAAAATAATAGAAATAGTTATGTCGACTATTATTTCTAATTTATTTTAAACAAACTGAATTTACACTATTAAGCTTATCTATTTAGATCTATCTTTCATCTGAAAGCTGAATACCTTTCCATGGACCTCTTACGAATGGTATGTATCTAACATAAATTGTATATATCGGCAGATTTACTTCGTGTGCCTCATGCCGCATGCATCTATCCAACAACAAATCCACGCATACCTCAATATATGTTGAGAAGTCAAAATGTGATTTTTCACCCGTAAGGTCCTTTATCTCATGGTTGGTCACATGAGTTGATTTATTAACTCCAGTGTTTATATACTATCAGCAGTGTGGTAAAATATATGACGTCACTAGATGACGTCATTATACTGAGTGGTTGTCGCCATTTTGTACTAAGTGTTCCTGTACAAGATTACTCAAAATTGCGTAAGTAGTATTGCAAAACTGAAGTGAAATTTTATTATATTAACTAGTGGAAAACACAATATCAGAGTTCACGCAAGTCTTGTTTGAATCTAGATTGTTATATAGGCCTAACTAGATTGTTGTTGTGTATATCCTTAATTTTCTAAACAACTGCAGGTTCACCTTCCGTCTTCAGTGAAGGCAGGTCTACTGTCATGTGGGTATGTCTCCCTTCACACAATATTTCCGATACAGAGAAGTCACTGTTTCTAATGACGATCTCTTGTCTGAAGAAGAATATTCTGTCGATCTCAAAGAACTTCAAGCTGAATGGGAAAAGGCCAAACCAAGTAACACTCACATCAAGCTGCTACGTCAGTACAGAAAAAGGTGGATGACTTCTTTACCAGACGGAACGATCCAGCCCATAATTGAGGCGTATCCCTTTTTCTCAGAAGGACAACATGTGAGTACTGAGTAGTGACAGATGATAAGAACATGCTGTTGGTAGTCCACGATGTCTCCAAATATTATTATCAAAACACTGTACAGTTTCAGAGAACAATTGTAAACGTCATGTGCAAATGAAGGAATGGATTATATTCAATAGATTACCTGTAAAATTACTTGACTTTTGTCATTTCATACTCTTTTATTCATTCACAGGTGCTGTCGGAATTCTTTGCTATTGTGTACCCAGAAAAGGAGGAGGAACAGGCCAGACAAGATGTCTGTCAGAAGGTTGAATGGCTCCTGCGGCACGTGAGCACTCATAATATCATTTAAATAATGTCTCCTGAATAGCCTCACATATCAAAAGTATCAAAAGTACCATATACCCCCTAACAACCCCCCCCCCCCCCCCCCCCCCCCCCCCGGTCAACTTGTTTGGAGATAATTTAGGGTGAAATATGAATCAGACAAAATTATGTTCAACATAAAACGGTTAATTCAGTCCCTTATTTAGTAATCGGAATCGAAAACTCAACTGATTGGGTATCTCCACCTGTTTTCAATTACGTCACAAAGATAATGACGACGTACATAACATTGTTATGGTCTGTGACGATATCACTCCCACAAGATATATCGTTATTGTTCTTTCTCCACTTCAAGGAAATGATAAATATAGAACATGGAAGTATGTTGATGCTGGACATTAGGGTAATTTAACTGTAACTACGAATCTTATAACAGAAAGATGACATAACAGAAGTTGACTTACTGGTGGACATGGAAAAGGCTGTGGCAGTCGAAAAAGGACGAGCTAAGAAGTCCAAGTCAATCATTAGTGTCCATAAGGTTCGTCTCTCAATCCCTCAAACAGTATGCTGAATAATAAGGTGGTCTGGGGCCTTAAGGATTTTTTTCCACCTGTGGTTAAAGTATGCTGTGACCCCTTCAATTTTAGCTTTTAACATTATGCTATATGGAAATGACCAACTGACTTTCATCCTTAGTTAAAGATCATATCACTTTTTTAAAATGCAGACGTTTTTACAATTTTATCAAAGCTTTTTATACCAAAACTTAAATTTAATGTTTAACTTTCAGGTGGATGGTGTGGCTTCTGTCAAAGAAGCATTTTTTTAATCCAAGGAATTCACCTCGCCACGCCTCATCATTGTCGTCAATAAGGATGACAACAGTTTCATGACAGCCTACATTGTGGTGGACAGGACGAAGATAGTTTGCCAAGCTGCATCTATCTTGGATGCAGCAGTTGTGCTACTGGCAGCGTATTATGTATCTGATCTGAGCTACCCAGGCATATATACGCGTGCGCTTGGATTGCTGCAGCAGTTTGTGGTGGGTGACGCCTACAGTGGACCTAAAGGAACAAAATGGATCACTTTCGTGAAACGTCTCACCCTGGACTCTCCCAAGTCTAACTGACTCAGTCATTAGTGTTTATCACTGAACATGTATTCTAACATAAACATGTATAAGTGTCTATAAAGTGTTGCATCATCAGTGTTTATTTCTGTGTTTAAACAGAAACACTTGTTTTTAGAGTGTACAGAAGACAATAGTAGTGCAAAACCATGCCTTACAGAATGCTCGTGAAGATCTCGCTTAGGAATGGTCTTCACCAACCCATACACGCCGCAAGAGGCGACTAACGGGATCGGGTGGCTCGCTGACTTGGATGATGCATGTCATCGTACCCCAGTTGTGTAGATCCATGTTCATGATGTCAATCACGGGTTTGTCTGGTCCAAACTCGATTATTTACAGACCGCCGTCATAAAGATGGAATATTGTTGACTGCGGCTTTATACAACAAAAACAAAAACGAAACAAACAGAACACATTCTTAAGAAAGTTTTCAGTTAAAATTCACAAACTAATAACCTCGTTTCTGATGCGGTGACGTTTCATAGCTGATATACATGATCAACTGGCATTGCACTTAGTGCTTATGCAGCCGCTTATTCCATCTTTAAGATAAGTAAAATTCGACCCTTCTTTGACTTGGCAAAGAATCATGTTTTAATGAGTATGTCTCTATACGAGGTATATATGCCGGAGCTTCACAGAGGCAAAGAAGCAAATTGTATGTCCTGCTGCTAGTGTAATGTTCGACAACTCCCCGACAATGTATCTCCGAAGTTATCGTCTTCGTACTTTACGTATCTAGATAGCGGCAACTACATTTTCTTGACATGTTCACCATTAGGCCATATATAAGAGTCTTGGCATAACTGCACTTCCAAGTTCAACTCTAAAACTGTAACAGAGTCTTAATCATGGTAATTGTACAAAACATGGCTCCAGTTCACTGGATCAATGATAATCAGCTGATGGATATGCATCGTGCAAGAATCCGGCACAATCAGATGGAACGAACGAGAGCTTTACACCGCAGTCAGCAATGTTCAAGCCTTGTCTTGACGGCATGTGAATATTCGGGGCTGTGGTAGGAAAACCTGTAGTTGATTATATTTTATGATCCAAGCTGTCTATTCTACTGCAAAAAGCAGTGCAAATTATATTCTAACGGGGAGTGTTTATTATTCATTGATAACATCAATCTTTATAAACACCCAGCCGTATTACACATTATGTAATACCATCATGAGCTGGCAGGACTATTTTAGCCATAATCATGCATTGGTATCACTGTGCAACCGACATTATGCATCTATCATTTTTCTTGTTTTGTCAAATACGGGATTTTTGGTTTTGGAGTAGAATCTAGGCTTTGACATCGCATTCTGTCAGTCGTTAGAATCGTCGATTTCGTTTCCGTCAACCAGTGTCGTACGTCTTCAGTGCGCCAATATTGGTGTTGCTTACAGGTGATTGCAACAGTACATCATAACATGTATGTAATCTGTTGCTTTGTTCGTGTGAAATCAAATAGCCCACATAAGAGGACTCGATATTCTCTCGAGCTTCCCTCGCCTACACTGAACGAATTTGATATGATGAAGCACGATTACGCCTGTGAAAGCAGAAATTTTTAACTGGATATATTTGATAATTTTCATGGTTGTCCTTTCTTACCTGTATATTGTCAGATCTCGCATTAATTTGAGTTACGCATCATAACTACAAATGTTGCACTGATAGGCCATCCTAAAAAAATCTGTGAAATCCTTCTCCATTACCCATGCAAATGCATCACAAAAGCCCCGGTGCCGACAGGTAATGCTCTCCATAACACAACTGAAATGAAAGGACTGCTCTCGTCACGGCTTCATCTAATTTGGCAAATCCCTTGCCGCTCTCTCACCCGAGTGCTCCGCCTTGTATTTCACAATTAGCTGCTACCTCCATCTGCTGTTGGCCATCTCCCTCCATGGGCCTCCTCCTAACTTGCATGTATGGCGGCCAAAACTTCTGAAGGGCCTCGAGTGTTGTTTCCAAATTGCCATGCTTGGTCTCCAGAGCTTACTTCTCAGAAGTCCAGATTGAACGCCGAGTGCTGAATTATCTGCAGTAGCTCTGGTGTTAACGTTACAGCTTCTGATAACGACTGAAGAGACGCGTACATGCACTCACTACCTTGACGTCTTGGGGACACAAGGTCGCCACGTCCTCTGCAAAACCAGGAACGTTCCGTGATGTCCATTAGACTTCGTCTGGTCGTATACAGTGAGTTCATAGGTTGAAATGAAAGGGACTTCAAAAAGATGTATTTGAGAAAACTGAGTTTGATATCAAGGAAATGTAAATGCCTTCACCTTAAGCACCCTGGTTAAGTTAAACACCTTTCACAAAACTTTGAAATGACTAACATGCGTAACATGGACTATTTTAATCACGTGTCTGTTGAAGGGGGCATTTCGTCTTCTATGAACACACAATGCCATTTAGAAAGTGGTCAAATGTAACAAATGTTGTATTGGGGATAACACTTTCTTAGTAAAGAACAGATTCTCGTAATTATTTAGGTTGAGTCCCCACTACTAGAGCGAGGCACCTAATCGCCAGCACACACAGTCAGCGATCTAACCCACTCAGCGACCGAAGCTTCCACAAAGTGAAAGTTGGTGTGGGTTGGAATCCCGGATGGGACTCAACCTAAAAAAGTACGAGAATCTGTACTTTACTAAGAAAGTGTTATCCCAAATATAACATTTGTTACCTTTCATCTTCTGCTGATATTTTCTCGTTTCAATCCCCCCAACTTCATGGTGTTCATCAATAGTACAGAGGTTTTCCATGCCATCTATGGTCTGGTGGCGGTGTTGTGTGGTTCTATATTAATTCTTCCTCGAATGTAATCGTGTTAAGTGGCTCCCTCTATAAATTGATATAACGACTAATAGAAAGTCAGTCGATGCCAAATGCCAGATTAATATTTTACGATGCACCATCTAATTCTGCGATAGTTTTTTGTTTGTTTGTTGGCTGTTTAATGCCGCACTCAGCTATATTCAAGCTATATGACGACGGTCTAATAATCGAGTCTGCGTACAGGTTTTCAACGTGGTTCTTCCACAAAAATTATTGGTTGTCTTGTGCTAATGTATCTACAGCTGATTAGCTGAATGGAATAAAGTAGGTTCACATATACAACAGGTGTCTACCAACATATCGCACCCTCACCATCAATCACGCGATAATAACCCGCGCTATACTAGTGAATGAGTATGGTTTTACGCCGCTTTCAGCAATATCACGGCGGGGGACACCAGAAATGAGCTTCACACATTGTACTCATGTGGGGAATCGAACCCGGGTCTTCGGCGGGACGAGCAAACGCTTAAACCACAAGGCTACCCCACCGCCACCGCCCTATACTAACGTTCCTTCCCCTTGTGGAGACCGAATAGGCCCCCAGTATCCCTGTGCTGCATGACTCAGGTAGTTGCAATGTGAGATCTTGGTTATTGCGTGTCGACGGACCATGTCAAGGGTCGTTGTCCATACTGGCTTGTCTGGCCAAGACTTAATTTCACCCACCCTGCAGTGACTGTCTGGGATATTGCCGACTGCGCCATAAAACAAGATTTTGTTAATATAATCTACCGATAGATAATGATGAACAACTTATAGAAGCAGCACAGAGCTATAGATAAGCATTTGGTCATTTGGGTATTTTCCCCAAGGGGTTGATTTTGACTGGGTATCCACAAGTTTTAGAGGGTATTCAATTTATTTTACCGACCTGTTTCTTGAAATTTGGGTATTTACCTTAAAACCTGTTTAGTAAAAATCCCTGTAAATCATTTAAAATTGTGTGAATAGTAGTTTACCCTTTTGCATCTGCTTGTGGCCACTTATCCGGGAAGCTTTAGTTTGTTTACAAAACCTAGCATTGTAAGAAGGCGCTATTGGCGCTACCAATCAGCGACTAATCAAGATTCAACATGTACATGGCACGACTGGGCACGATGTGCTTTTCAATGTGGCATCTTTTAGTACGTATGGCGCAGAAGCTTTGCCGAATGTAACTGTCGGTAAGAGTATTTGGCAATCCGCTGATACACAATCATTTTATCTAAGTTGCAACATACGCAAACGTTTTATCTAATAGTTGTAATATACGCATTAATTTTATTTGAATAGCGTATTTATAGTTCTTGTTGCGTATTTGATACGCTAGAGTTGATTTGTCTGCGTATTTCAGTTTATTTAATGCGTTTTTTATGCACATACGCAGCTTATCTGGAACTCTGGTAGCACACACGTAGCGGTTGTTTACCATGCATATATTCGCGCACGCAACAAGTTATTGTAGCAACGTTTGTAATTCACCATTGTGGACCTCGCACATTCAGTGAATTTAGTGGACAACATAGATGGCCCATCATGCACGTGTCTCTATTGAAGCGTACACGCGAGATAACCTCATCAAATACGCAGGTTATGTTGATTAGGGAGAGCACTGCCATAAAATCAGTCGTAATTGCCTCCCAAAACGCTGCATATATCATACTGTTACAGGGGGAGATATGTAGGATCGTGTGATTGTCTCAGACACTTGACGAATGCTGCCCTCCAGGTGACCCAGCGTTATAGGAGTAACAGACGATGATGCTGTTAGTGTTATGACGTCTGTCTCACGCTGTAATCAAAGATGTGAACTGGATGCACAGATATCAACTGACACATATAGTCTGGGTTCCAGCTGCGTGCTTGTGTAAAATACGCAAAATAAATCACCATAACCCAATCAAGTTTTGTTGTTTGCGTACAAATACGCATGAATATAATGTCAAAGAAAGCACAATAGCACAACAACACTGTATTGTACTCAATGTAGCCTTTTCAGCTTGGGGAGGTGCCGTGCATGATTTACAGGTCTTAATTTGCCGATCGAATGCAGGTATCATGTCTACATGAAATCTACTGTACGAACTACGATCGAACTTGGACATGTATCGCTGGCGTCAGTTTATGCGCAACACTTGGGGCAGCACATGAACAGATGCAAATTAGAAGAAAAAAATATTTTAAAAGGTCTAGTCATCAGTTAAAATACTCTATAGACCGGGCCCAAG